GACCAATATAGTAGCAGCATCACTGCAGATGAAATGTTAAAACTGAAGTCGTTTAGTTAAAACTATTTATTTTGGTATACAGATTAGAGAGTAAGAGATTTTTTGATACATTAGCCCCCGTTTGAGCCCCATTATTTATATATTATAATGAGATAAATAGTATTTTTTTGAAAAATGAGTGATTGAAATTTTTTTTATTTATGTGTAATATTATTTTATTGAAAATTGTGTGATTAAAAGTAGGAGAGAGAAAAATTTAATTTAATGTAATAAAAATAATGAGGCTTAGACGGGAGTAATAACGTTACTAAATTAAAGTTAGGAAGATTCCAATTTCCAACTTGCCCTCTCTTGGCATTAATTTTTAGGTATGAACTATAAATTAACAAGTTACTAAATAGTAAATACATGAAAAAATCATAATAAATCACACATATGTGTGCGTATATGAGCGTGTAATATACACACACACTCACACACACACACACACATAAAATGTTGACAACGTTCATCACTACCAAGTAATTTCAAAGAAAACAGTCATTTGCGCGATATTTTCTCCAAATCTTAGTTATTGGAAAAACCGATTCTTGACAAACAATTTATTTTCTAAATAGTTATTCGAAAGACCAATTCTTGACACATCTTACTTCCATAATTTATTTTCATAATTCTCTGACAAACAATCGTTAAGGGTCGCTTTTGGGCGCTCCTTTGTATAAACGACAACCACCTATGCATTCATAGTTAATATTAAAAAAAAAAAAAAAGTTGAACTCCAATCTTGAGGGTCTCACTGTCCCGTCTTTAGAGCTTTGTGAGGGAGGTAAATCATGAAATGTGTCCTAATAGATTATGGAACAAGAGCTGTCTGTACACTGCACCTACAAGAAATCCAATTCCATGTTTCAGGAATCAAACTCCCACACTGCGGTTACCAGTAAGGCGTGAGATAACACGAAATATCTCTCACTCATAATTTAATTAAAAGAAGAAAAAAATTTAAAATATAACAAACACGATTATTTATTAAAGTTAACACGAAATATATTAAACAACGACATACATACGACAATATAATTTTATTTAAACAAAACGATACATTATAAAGAAATTATTTAACGTAATTATTTCGTAATACATAAAGAAATATAACAACGACATACATAAGGAAATTATTTAACGTAATACATACGATTTTTTATATTTATTAAATTAATTTAATCTTTTCCGTAATTTAACGTAATTATTTATTTAATAATTTATGTTTTTATAAAATAATTATATAAATAATATTTTAAATACATAAATTATAAAGAATAAAAAAAGGGAAGACAATGGTTAAACGATGTTCATTTGGTGTAACTTTTAGTGTAATGGTTGGAGATGAGTTTTAGTTTAGTGCTAAATTTAATGCAAAATTTGGAGTAAAATGATATAAATTTTGGTGCAGCGTTGAAAATGACCTTAGTTTTTGTGAGTTTCACAAAATATGGAGATATGAAATGCTTGACAAGTGTTTATAGGGCCCGTTTGGTAGGGATTTTGAGAATTGATTTTTTGACCGTTAGAAGAAAAGTGGGGTTCACATGTGAGAGAAGAAGTCAAAAATTACGGCTTGAATAGTAAAATAACGGTAAAAAAATCAATTTTTTGGGGGCAAAAAATTCCTACCAAACGGGGCCATAGTCAAACTATTTTGTCGATATGGTAGACATTACATTCCCCCTATGTGGGAGAATCCGTTCATTGATGGAAAAGGTGGAGGAAAATTAATGATGTAAATCGTGTCATATAAAAGAGTGTAAATCAACGTTTCACCCATAGCGTAATTGTACCTATCCAAAATGGCATATTAGCATTAAATTATGCAATAATTCTCACTTGTTTTTTTGTGAAAGAAGAGAGGAAGAAAAACTTCACGTGGGTATGTAGTGCGGGTGACTAATTCTTTGAAAAATCATGACATGCCTTGGGTCAAAAAGCGCCCTTAAATTTGTCTCATATAAAATTTTCGGAGCGGTTATTTAGTGTTCTTATCATATAGGAGGTGTTGATTTAAAAAATAAATGAACTATCGAGTTATACGAACATAAAGGTTGACATAGGCGATAACCAAACATACACGAACATGGAGGTCGTCATTATAATAAATATAATTGTATCTCATAAAGGGAGTGACGTGAGCAAATTAGGATGACTATTTTCCCAAAAAACAAAGGTAACCAGTCGTGACAATGATTGTCTAATAAATCATAACGTGACCTCTAGTGTTATAACTTATCAATCTAGATTTTATTTTACAACTTGACCCTACGCCTGGAATTTGAAGCAAGATATTTTCTATATTAGTCAAGTGACGATTTATTGAGATTTATATAATTTCAAACCATATTTTAGAAGCTAGTAAATAAAAAATAAAGTCAAAGCGTTCTCAACGATGTGTATTATAGGATGCTAGTGTAAAACCTTGAAGAGATTGCTAAACCACCAACAAACCTATTGAAATTTAATGATAATCGAAGCGTTTTACAAAGAGTACAAAGATCTATATATCCAACTTTTCCATGATTTGTTGATTCACATAGCTAAAAACAAATTGTATGCTACATACATGACACGAATCACAAGCTTCCTCTCATCAGCAGACATCAATCCAAATCGTTGAGGGATCTAATTAAGAGTTCCATTTTGGACCTAAGAGGAGAAGGTTAAAAAATGAGCGTGTACACAGATTCTCAATTAATACACATTTAGATGAAAGAATTGGTCCATTCCTATTTCCTCAAAAAGCTAATTATTATCAAACTTCGAAGGTCAACTTATATAAATTTGAAAATTATATATGAACTTGCTACTCAAAAAATAAGTCGAGGACCTAAGCTGTAATTTCCCTCTTAAGGACAAAAAATTCTATTCGATAAACCCTAATTAGATAGACCCTAAAGTAATCGTCTCTCTCTCAGCCTTCAATCCAGCGGTTCAGCCCAAACCAGAGGCCCAGATTGTTCAATTCGTAGTCGCTGCGGCTGCCGCTGCTGTGCCTTTGGGCCAGCCTCTATCTACACTATTTCAGTCCGTCAGGATTCTTTCTTTTTCCACATATTTTGTGCTCAATCAGGTAAAAAATTCATCGATGAATCTGTTGTATTATTTTGCAATGTCTAAGGTAAAGAAGAGTAGATAGTGATTTTGGAAGTGGTGTGAACGAACGATCCACACATTGATAATTGGCGCACAACTTATTTTGATTCTGGATACAGATTAAAAATGATAGCTTTATCAGAATATTAAAATAGAATGTGATTTTAAATATATTTACCCACATTAATCTACTACTGCTTGATGTATGCGCTCATAATTTAGTAGTATATAAATTAATATAAAGGATAAATTTGTACCATTAAATGAGAACAGGTGTTTCTCTAGGACATTACAAACTTATTTAAATAACTATTGCTGCAGGGGACATGACAAAGAAAAATAAATCTTCAAAAAGGAAAGCTAGAGAAAGCAATGTAGGCACGACTGATGGGATTACTTCTGAGACTATATCGGATAAGAGTAAGCTCCTATGAACCTTTGTCCATTGTCTACTCGAAACTGCTGAAAAGTCTCTAATAAGAAATATGGGAAAATATGTGATTGTTATTGGTAGTTTTTTCCCTTAAACAAAACGAGGAAGGTAAAATATCTTGGGAGGATTCAAGTTTTGAGAGAAGGTGCAAGAGGTTTGTTGTGCTAAATATCAGTGGAATAGAAGCTAAATTAGTGCTTTTATCTTTAATATCAAAATAGCTATTCAAAAGTAGCGAACTACCTTTCTTTACTTATTTATTGATCGTAACAATTTTCAGTCGTTAATCCACACTTAATTTTTTGTTTTATTCCAATTGTAATGGCTTAAATTTTGCATTGAAGAAGACTCTTTGGTTCCTTCTAGGATTTTAAACAATCGTTTCGAATCTTGTTAGTATTCCCTTATGGGCTCAAACCTATAGGCTACAAGTTGAGCTCAACAGCATTTGAGGGCTGCCTTTTATTTGCCTTTTTAATTAATTTTTCACTTCTTGGTCTTCTTGGTGTGTGAAACTGTTCACAAGCACCCCTTGCGCTTATAGATGATATCAGAGCTGCCACCATTTAATAATTCCTTGTTAACGTAGTGAAGAATAATCCTTCTGTTACATATGGCATAAAAAATGCATGCCAATACTTCAGTTCTTTTTTTGACAATGAAAATTGAGCGAGATGTTTGGCTTAAGAACATTGATTAAAGATTTGAACATCATATGTAGATCATAACGATCTTTATCCCAAATTTGATACTTTCTGTTTTAAACATGAGAGTACTTATAAAGACTTCGAAGTTGAAAAAGGACACTAAGTTTAGGCTGTTCTAAACTTGAATGTACTTATAAAAACTTCGAAATTGGAAAATGACACTAAGTTTGGCTATTTTCACTTGAAACTTGTTGAACTGCTCGAGGTTTCCCATGCTAGCAGAAGAGAAGCTCAGTCGTATGTCTCATTTTTGACTTTACACAGTTCGTGATTTATGTTTAAATAGGGTAAATATGTGAAGAGAAAGCATATCTTTAACCTCATAAGAAGAATGTGGTTGTCTTGTGGTATGTAGGTCTTGGAGATCATATAGATGGAGTTCCTGTCAACACTGATTTGATTGAGCTGACCGTGGGTGAGAAGCTTGCAAGCCTTAACTTGACAGCAAACAGTGGAGCCAAAAGCCATGATGTAGAGTCCTCTCCTCAAACAAAACCACTGTTCATATTTTGCTTAAGCAAGCTTTACACGCTGATGATCGAGCACTTCTAATAGATTGCTTGTTCAGAAAAGATGATAAGGTGCCGTAAATCCTAGTGTCCTGCTCTAGTTGTTCCTTTTTTTTTTTTTTTTTCTTTACATGTGCGTCCTGTTTAAGGAACAATTCCTTTTTCTTTCTCTTGATAATAATTAGTGGAAGCACCATCACACTGCAGGTAATATCAAATTCAGTGTCATTGTTGAATCCTTCTGATGTTCTCAAGTTCCTGCAGTCTTTCATATCAATAATCCAATTGAGGTAAGGGGAAAAATAGGAAATACCAACGCAGATATCTGGCACAGAACAAACTAGTACCGATAGAACTGAAAAGCTGAAATATTGATAGAAGTTCAGTAGTGCGTTCAATGATCTTGTTTTTAGGCCCAAAAAAAATCTTTAATGATTTTGTCTCTAATCCAGAAATTGTTTTCTATACCTTGCATTTTTACGCTAATTTATAGTCTCATTAGTTTGTGACAACTATTGGTTATTGTGCATTTGTTCGACTGGGGTGCTGTACTGGCTTGTGCTCTTCCTTGGCTTAGAAGTTTACTACTTCAACATGCTAGTGGAATAATGTCTCAAGAGTCTTCTTTGGTTGCTCTTAACTCTTTATATCAGGTTAGGAAGGAATATGATTAGAAAATTTTGTGGATGTACAAGGAGAATCTGTCCACAAGAGATCTTGATTAATTGTGTGTGATTTCTAGCAATTGGATATCTAAATAAAGGCAACCAATACGACGAAGTACTCACCAAATCTGAATCATAGCAACATCAAATTATGTTTGGTATTAACATCAGATTTGTACCACTTGAAATTCATAAGAAACTGAAATTGATGATCTTCCATTAACAACTTTTGTTTGTTGTTTTGATTGAACACTTTCTAATCTATTCACCTATATATAACACACTTTTTAACACCAATGAAGCTTATAGAATCTAGACTCTCAACGTTCAACCACACTCTTCAGTTATCAAGCTGCTTGGAGTTGCTTTATGCAGAGGTGGGTCTGCTGCTAAATAATTACTTTTATACTTTTATCTGATACTCATCAAAGTTTTACAAAGACATCCCTTTTTTGCAGACTGTTGATGATGATGTAGAGGAAGATAATAGTAAGGTAACACCTATCCTATATGAAGACAACGATGAGGGATCCATAGATTCCATGGAAACTGAAAGCAATCATGAAAATGAACAGCCTCATGTTAGTGATGATGAAATAAATGACCAGATTGATTACTGACATGCAGAATGGCTGCAAGTTGACATAGGGTATTATTCTGCCCTCCATTGTATTCCAGTCATTTTTCACCATTATTTACATACCAAATCTCAAGTTTAAAGTATGTTTTTCTGTTATTTTGATATGCTAAAATTTACCATTCAAAAATTCCTGAATTTTCTTATTCTTTCTTTGGAAATATGAGGCTAGTTTCAGCCACAATGAGAACACTAGGTAGCAATCTACTAGAATCTAGATCAAATAAACATAGTAAGGTTTTCATAAGCGTAACATAAACATATGTATCACGTCACCCGCATTTTTACTTTTTTGCTTAATGCGCAAGTGCAGACACAGAAATTACAGTACACAAACAAGTAAAGCAAAAAAAAATGGCTGGCTAGGCGTTGAATCCGCGGCTCTACATTTCCAGGATGTTGTTAATTAGGATGCAGTGCTTCTTGACTGCATCAACAGTAGATTCGAATGCTTTCTTCCCAGCCTCAGCTATTTTCTTGCCTACCATAGTCGAAACATATTCCTCTTCTTTTGGAAAAACAGTTCCACTTTTGCCTGATCTTGTTGCATTGCTAGTGTTGGAATCCATTTATTTTACCGAATTTCAACTATGTTTGCGTTTTTTCTCTAGGAGGAGATGTGGGGCTATTTATGGACCATGTGAGCTTGGTATTCTTCTAAACTCTTCTTTTCATGTTTTGTGTAAGGTTGCTGCAAATTCAATGTGATTTCAATGGAAAAAACAGCCCTTTGCTCTTGATATTAACTGTGTGGAAGATATGGTTTGAATTAAAATGTAATAACCTACACTTCCCGTGTTTTTGAGTGTGTTTTCGTCTCTCCTCCCGTGTGATAGCTTCCTCGACAGTGAGACGGGAACAATTTGATTTAATAAGATCAATAAAAATGCCTAACGTGCACGCTAAAGTAAAAATCAATAAATGAAAAGAAGAGAGTCAAAATTCGGGACATCTCAAGAACGTCACTAACGATTAAGAGCCCAACCTACATGGCTGGAAGAAAATGATAAGAGAGTTTATCATAAATGATGGGAAACGAGTCCAATAGAACCTATCTGAATTCAACCATAGAACAACTTAATTCTAAAATTCAATCGAACGGTAGAAGAAATTGGGAGAGGAGATTTGGAGGGTTTATTCTGAAAGAAGAAAGGGGGACGATGATTTTATAATGAGAAAAATAAGAAGAGCTTCTAAACGTGTTTGAGAGAGTGAAAAAAATAGAGGAAAGAGGAAAGTGAAAAAATGTGTCCTGGAGGAGAAAGAAAACACTTTTTGGATAAGACAGAAGCAAAAGGGAGAAAAGGAAAAAAAAAAAAAAGTTCGACCGACTTAAAGTTGGTCAAATTTGAATATAATTCACATCATCAACAACATCATCAGCATTACTCAAAGTGTATTACATCACCTACCAAAGAGAGAATGTCATTGTCAGCCTAGCCTAGCCAAGCCGCAAACCATTTGCCATGTGTCCATGCCGTCACCACCTCCACCGCGGATTCCACCAACAAGACATTAGCCCTCTACATCCCCCAACCAACATAAAAATAAAAATTAAGTCCCCGTTTGGTTACCATTTTTGTCAAATTTTAATGATTGAAATAGTATTTTTTCGAAAAATGTGTGGTTGAAAAAGAATGAAAAAGTTTTTGATTTGCGTATAATATTATTTTATGAAAGACTGTGTGGTTGAAAATAAGAGGAAGAAAAAGAATGAGAATGAGGGTCAAATGAGTTCTAAATAGAGAGAACAGAGAAAAGAAGTGAAAACTATAGTCCCTAATACAACTCGTAGTCTCCAAAAAATAAAACAAAAATCGTATCCACACCAATGCTAGAGGAAGCATGGCATGGGAGTCAAGGTAGTCTGACACCATGTTTACGTATGAACTTCACAAGATCAGGTTACTCTTCTCTTAATATGATAGACACACAAGTTTTAATACGCCCAACCTGAAAAATAAAACAGTTGGGACAAGGAAATAATCATTTACACCTCTCTAGCATCTTCGAAAAGGGAATTACCTGGAGCAGAGGACTTGCAGAATTATTGAATAGAAAGCTGTTAAACACCTATCCCTATTATATATCTTTAACCTAATTTTCCTTGAATCTCAGAAAAGAAAATGACCAAAAAGATCAATTCATTCGAATTCCTTTTAACAGCTAACCCACGATCTGACCAAGTCCATCTTTAATTTACATGGAATATGTAGCTCCAACCATCCGAAATGAAAAGGGCAGAATATAAATTATACACACATATACGAGAAAGAACGTTTGAAAACAAGAAAGTATCATGAATACATAAATAAAGGGTGGATGCAAGATTTAAGTTGAAAAATTCAGGACTCTAGCAAATGGGTCCTAAAGATCTTGATTAGTAATTCATACAGTAACAAAATGAATCTAAAAAATCTTCGAATCTTGGTAAAGAAGAGATGGATATAGCTCGTAAAAAGCAAGAAAACTCGATCTGAAGCTAATGTTTTGATAGATCTTTGTATCTTAGATTGCTGTGCTTATAGATTTTGATGAATATGTGAGATGTGTGAGCAAAAAGTATGAACAACGTGGGAAGCAACAAAAAGAAGAGCATTGATTGCGTTAATCCAGAGTGAGATTGGAGTACTATGTAGAGAAGGCGAAAGGGGTATTCAAGAATATTTGCTTTTGGTTCCACTATCACCATCTCCTTGAGTTTGGTAAATCTTTAATGTGAATTGGAAAAGAATTGGGAAGGGAACAAACCAAGGAATATTTCCTTTTAAAACTTTATCTAAATGAACTTTATAAGCTTGATAAAAATGGTATCATGAAATAAGCATATTTTCACACTTAAAATTACTTAACGACAATCATCTTAGACTTTGTTGGTACAAATAAACCAAACTCTTAACATAAGAAGAATGAACAAATTTTTTTTCCTTTTTTCCTCTCTCTCTTCCAAAATGATATCCCCCCCCCCCCCCCCCCCCCCCCCCCCCCGCG